GATGAGATTGCTTTTTTCTCTGGGGGATGGGCAGGATCTCTGGAGACCCAGCCCGTCCGCTGTCAAGTGACGCGACTCTGTGTCTCCTGCCGCACAGGACAAACCTATCCTGTCATCTCACCCTCCCCCATGCACATAGATCTCTCCCTACTCCTCTTTTGTGTCCCAGTTTTACATACTGTTTGCTATGTGCCTTCGATACCGGCCATTGGTTTCCAAAGGATGGCTGCGGGAAAGGTGGAACCTTTTCCTTTCCCAGGAACGCTCCTTGGCAGCCCTCAGCAGATGCTTCAGGCACGAACGCGTCTGTGGCTTTTCATCTCAGAGGTGTAGCTGCCACTTTTCTCCTTTCTCTTCTCTTCTCCTGTTGCCGTTGAATGTTTCTGTTCCCGTTTTTTGCCTCTCGATTCCTCTCTCTGACAAGCGCAAGGAATTGTGCTTCGGAGTAGCCATGTGTCCCCCGGTCTGAAAAGGGTCCCTACAGGTGGGCTGAGCTCATCGGTCAGAAGCAGAGTGAAATCTGCATAAGCCTGGGCCAGTCTTTGTGGCTCACTCCTGGGGAATGATGTGACCAAGTTGGGTCTGAATGGCTCGTCCCCTCGGGTCGCTGTTTGTGGATGTTTTCATAAAGACAGTGGCAGGTAATCTCTTGAGAAGCCAAAAGTCAGGACCCTTGTACAGTATTACAGAAGTTTTCGTATATTAATAGTGGTTCCAACAGTACAAAATGAAGGGAGGAGCAGCTGTATATCCACATCAGACAGACGCATTAGACTGAGAAAAGCACATCGTGGTGAGGAAGGACGAGGGTCGTTCGTCAGAGTCCAGTTGCTAGAGTTGGCATTTTGTAACAGCTGTGTCTGTTGCTCCGTTGGGATTCGCGGTTTTAAAATGCCTTCCTGAATCCGTTTCTGTGTCCAGGGATCCTTGACTGCCTGCCACCAAACTCAATGGATTTTCTGTGTATGATGGTCAAAAAAATTCTAAATAATCCAACTTTTGCAAAGCTATTCTCTCTCTCCTCACCCTCATCCCTCAGCGCCTTTGCGTAGCTCACCCTGTCCTTGCTGGACATTGTAAAATTGATACACAGTAGCTGAGCCTTACGTGTCTAGTTCTGGACTAGACAAATAAAGATTGTAGCATGTCTCTTCATGCCAGGGCTGAAGACTGGCAGACCACAAACCTCCTTACAGTATTTACTGTGGGTAATTTATTTAACTAGTGAATGTAGAATTAAACTAATTTAAAAGCTAATGGGTTGTTTGCGGGATCGTATGTCCTCTCTGTAATTGGCCTGATTTTATTTGTGTTCTCGTTCCTTTCGTTCATTCTGTATAGAGGGGCTAGAGCGGACGTGTCCGGGTGGGGGGCGGGGAGAGGGTTAATTCCACAGCCGAACTAGGGAGGTTCAGACTCGATTGCTGCAAGTCAGAGCGGAGGAGTGAAGAGAGGGGGGTCTGATGCTGTTGGGAATGATTTATTCTATTCCTTTTGTGGTCTGCGTTCGGTTGGAATAGTTTCTGTATGTAACTGTAGTAAAAAAAGAGAACAAACCAAACCACCTGGGTCTGTGTTTATTTGACCAAAACATGCCGCCAGCTCACTTGGAGACCTACCAGCCCCACGGGACACAGGGGCGCTGTTCTGGGGAGCAGACCTGCAGGTGTTACAGAAGAAACAGGTGACCCAGGAGCGGATGGGGTAAACGGATCTGCTTTATTGCCTACACACATTTACCTCGGACATTCAACACAACATCCGAGTGGTAACAAATAGGCCAAAGAATCTTTGATCTATTTGAGTATGTTAATTCACACGTCTATCACTACTTTTCCTAAAACCTTATTTAGTAATGTTAACACCCATAAAATGTATATTAATAAGCAAATAATGAATACAATTATACCCGCCCCTAATTACTATTTATGTAATCTCTCATTAGATCAACATATTCTTATACTACAAACTAACAGGTTACAGAGCTTACAAGGAATGTGACCCTGAAGATGTGTTATGCAGCGTCAATGAGGATGAGCAAGAGACATAACAAAACAGAGCATCTCCATCCTTATCTGGTCTCCTAGGCTACAAGAATGGGGGGAGAGAGCGTGTTCATACAGCAGGAAGAACAATACTGGGTTTGACCAGACTCTCCATCTATCTTCCCAAACTACAAAAACAGAAGGAAAAAGCCTGTTTGAAGGGCAGGGGCAACGCCTGTGCTGGCTACACCCCTGAACTACTAATGTCGAACAATTTCAGACCTATTAATTTTTATATATCCCAGACCTGCTTTGCTGCAGAGATGCTCCCGGCCATTGTAGGTATGGCGGACTTGGCCCTGCCCGGCGTGCGGGGCTAGACTGCATGGGTCCCTTCCAGCCCTGTGTTTCTGAGACTCCCTGGAGGAAACTTGAGCCTTGGCAGCTCCCCGGAGTCCCATACTTATGAAAGCCGATTCCACTCGTGCCGTGACGGTGGCCAGGAATGGTGAGAACGTCGGAAAGGGGCCTCTTCCATGCCTAGCAGGCTTTGGCTGGGATTCAAACAGTTCTGAGCCTGCATGGCCAGGACCCCAGCAGACAGACTGCAGGTGGCTACAACCCTGCGTGCCATTCCTGACCGGGCAGAAAGGCACCATGGGCTGGAGAACTAGCAGCCAGCCTCACCCAGCAGCCCAGGTATGGCTACACCCCTCTCATCCCTGTTTCACCTGCCCCGGGTCTGGTTCCTAGGCCCCGCAGCCCAAGCTTGGGGTGAGAATGGGAGTGAAGAATCCAAAGCCGAGTGGATAGACAGGTAATGGCAGAGAGATCGGGGCAGTAACGAGTTCTTCATGCACAGTGCTGGCTTCTAAATGACGGAGGGGCTGGAGGATTCCTGTGGCCAGTCCAGCGACAATGGTCAAAAAGCAAACGACCTCAGGATAGAGGTGGAAATAGGTCTCTTTACAGCTCCATGTGGGACCCCAAATCACATGCTGCCTGCAGGACTGGTCACTTCCTCTCGCTCATGGCCCAGCAGGAAGTGAAGGGGTTAAGGGGGTGTCATGGCTGATTCCCCACTCTGGCACGATGAATGCAGAAGTGGGGGCCCGCAAAAGTACCCCAAAACCTCTCTCCAGGCTTTGGTATAAAGCGTCCCCCCCAAAATCTTAAAAACCTAGATTTTGGGGATAAAAATCCACTGCCACCATCAAGTGCTTTTGAACCCACAAACGGGTCGACACTTGAAACCAACCCCCGGGCACCCCAAGCACTCTTCCCCAAAGAACTTGAAAAAGAAAAGAGAAAATACAAACTAGTCAGAGGCCTGCAGATCCCACAGGCAGATTTTCCAGGACACAGAACTGAACCAATATCAGGTTAATAAAAAAGAAAGAACTTTTATCATCGCAACAATACTCCTGTTACAAGCATAGCTGGATTGGCTAGATGGTAAGCACCACCAATTAATAAACTCATGGGGAATTTTCCCATGGGAACAAAACTTAGTTACAAAAGAGGACTATTTCTAAATGCACAGACATCAGATTCTTATTCCCAAACCATAAAACAATAAAACCTAACGGATTTATCTAGACTTTGCCCTACTTACAGATGGTGAAGAGTATTTTGTTGTTGTCTGTCCCCCTTAGTATCTGGAGAGAAACTGCCCAGAGACAAAATAGGGGAAAACCCCAAAATGCCTTTGTGTCCGTTTGAAATCCCTATCTGCATTTTTATTGGCTGACTGCTACCGGGCTAGCTACAGTTAACCCCTTAGTTCCCAGGCTGCTGGCCATCCCTCATGACCATGACGGGGCAAATGAAAATGGTTAGAAGCACGAAGAGACGCCTGCACGCGAGACAACGGAAAGGCCTGGGGCTGTGTCGAGGGGAGATGAGAGGTGAGGTAGTGTCCAGAGTAACTGAATAGCCAAGGTGACTCGGGCGTTTCTCGTTACCTTTTCTGACACATGCACAAAGGTGGAGACTTTGAAAGGCAACGCAAGCAAACAACCTTTTTACACAGTGCGTTGCCTGTGGAGCTCTCTGCCACAAGATACCAGAGTCCAAGAGCGCAGCAGGATAAAAGAACCTGATGGATGTTTCTGTGGAGAACTAGATCAGCCACAAGTTAGAAGTGTAGACGTGGGTGTAGATTGTCTCTCTGAGGTTTCTGTGCTCCCCCCTCCCCCGGGTTCTCCTCCTGACTGAGCCTCTCAGAGCTTGTAATCAAATAGCCAAAATCAGGATGTGTCGGATCCCAGTTCAAGGCCCGGGTCCTGGGAAGAACGCCTCGGGTGCATGATCTCCGAATTAGGCATTGTGTGTGTACAGGTTAGGTTTTCCATGTGCCTTCTTGTATCAGCAGTGGCCTTTGTGCTGGACGGTCAGTGTGTTTGATTAACACCGTCATTGTGAGATTAGACTGGGCACAGCACTCTCCCAGCCTCTGGCCTGCCGCCTTTTACCATTAGTTTGGCAACGTGTTAGTTTTTGTACCATGCAGCCTATTTCTGGATGCCCCCTCTGGCCTGCTCAGCAGGGGTGTGTCCGGGTATGAGTCCACGAAGCAGGATACCCTCATGTTCCAGCAGCACAGTCCTGATGCGCTGGCTCGGATCGGCAGTCACACCGGTTTCTTTCTTGCCCTGAAGGTGTCGCTCGGGGTGGCCAACCCGTTACAGACAAAGAGCCAAAAGCGTGGTGGATACAGCGCCAACAGCTGAGGGAAAGACGTTGAGCAAAAAAAACCCCAAAACCAACGCTGCCCCTTTACCAGCCGCACGTGGCCCAAGCAAGCTTCCATCGGCCGGAAAGCTGCTGAGCAACAAAACAAAAGCTGCCCCTTTAAGAGCTGCAGGGGTGGGCCGCCCCGGTGTAGCTCTTTCGTTTCTGTGGGTACGGGGTGTCCTGCAGGCTCCACAGAGCAGTAGCCTTTGGGGGGTGAAACCTCGCCGGGATCCATCAAGCATAAGAAAATGGGA